TTAATTCTATCCAATGTAAATTCAAATAAATGGAGTTGCACAATAATCACGATATAGCTTAGTGCAAATATCAAATCAAAGACTGTGATTGAATTAAACAATTGTATAGTCTGATGCTCTGCGTGTTTCAAAGCAAAGTGTGGTACTTTGTTTATGCAAGCAGCTGGTGATCTGGTGTATTTAGCTTCTCAGTTGATGCATTTTGGAACACAATGTGTGCTAGGTTCACTTTATTTACAGATTTGCACAATTTTCAACATTTTTGTGGCATTTTCCACAGCATTCTGCCAAAATAAAAGCTTGTAATTTTGAGATATTCCAAGCTCAAGGGTTTGAATGTTTGAAAGTGAATAATTTAAGACATTAATATTAGTATTTTACTTGTAGTGTAAAATAAAAAAAAATACATATAATATTCAAGTATTTTATTTTACAGTGAAAAAGTTAAAACGACAACAACAGCAACAATAATAATAATAATACAAATAATAATTATTATTATTATTGTTCTTGTTAATAATAATAATATATTGTAACTAGGGCTGTCAGTTTAACACATTAACTTAATTAGTTATGGAAAAATAACACGATTAAAATATTGTAATGTAGTTACGTAACGCACTGGCCCCGCCCCCAGACCTGCACATCATCTTACATTTCATATATTTGACTGTTGACAAATATAATGCAGGGCCGCAACTCCATAAATGTAGTTATGCCCTAAAATTCAAGATATTGGTGCAAAAAATGCCCTTGTATGTTGTCTCATATTTATATCATACGATAAGTGATATCACATGAGCAGGGAGAACACAAGTGCTGATTTTGTCCTGAATATCACGAGTTTAAATGTTCAGTAAATAAGTTGATATTGTATTATATTTTAAACACAATATTAAGTGTTTTTGCTTAATTTTGCAGAGAAAATATTACCTTTAAAGCCATAGCAGAATTGTTGTGCGTCTCCGAGAAAAACAGCAGTGTTTCGTTTCTGAATGAATCTGCGTTTTGAATCCGCGTTATGATTACATTTCTTTGGGTTTCTAAAACAACAGTGTGAATGGAATGTAAACTGAGAGACTATTTCGACTAAAAAGAGGTTTTATTTTAAAATTCAGCTAGTCAAATATAAAACACAACACAATCTACATTTACTAAAAAAAAGAGATTTTTAGCAAATGGCTGCAATATAACAAAGAGTGAAAAATTGAAGGGGGTCTGAATACTTTCCGTACCCACTGTATAAGACGATGTTTTTTTCTTGGAAATACATCTGAAAAGTCGTCTTATATTCAGGGTCTAGACTTTGACATGTCACTTTCAAAACAAAAATTAAAATAGGAAAAATGTGCAATATGAAAATAATTGAAGACAAAATGTGTTTTACTGAGAAAAAACAAGATTTGGTTTTTAAAAAGCCTTTATCCAAAAGATACATCTGGAAAAAGGGGGGTCGTCTTATATTCGGGCCAATACGGTAATTATTTATAATAAATCTTTACTTAAGTTTTCACCGTAATAATTAGTTTACTGCAATGTCTTAAGTCCCAATTATAGGCTTTGGAATTATGAACTGAAGCGAGATCAGATCAATGCCTTACAGTCGGTATTCCAGATCATTTAAAGTCCTGCATGGATTCAGTTTTCCACGTAGGCTATAGTTTGGGAAAAGTCCAACTAGTAAATGAGTAGTACAGGTTATATGTAAGTAAGAATTAATGATTTTCATCAGAAATGATCTCCTCCACTGAATCAAGCCGCACATCGCATTGCGTTCTTCCTCTGAGGTAAATTCAAGGTTTATTCCTCAGCCTTATTCCGTGGATGATTACCGTATAGTAGAGTGTGAATGTGAACATATTACAGATAATGAGCTCAGACGAGAAGCACGGCATCTCTCGTTGGTTTCATACAAATTACATAAACAATAAATAATTATTTTCGATTCAAATTGATACATTTAAAGTTTTCTATAGACATGTTTCTTATGTCTGTGATGCAAGAGTTTCAGTTCATTTTTGACATGTTTCAGAAAGAAGTTCACAGAGACCGAGATGGCCGAAAGCACACCCTGTTTGTTTTCTTTATTTTACAAAAGAGTTTTGTAAGGTTTTGTTGTTATTGAGGGTGTCTTACTCGTATGACCATAACTGACGCAGTTGAAGCTCTTTCTGCTGTTATCGGGATCACGCCGCAACTCCGCCCGGAGAAGTGCAGTACTTGTTGCACTCTACAAGGTATAGCCTAGCTATTGCTCTTGTTTGTAATAACAAATGAAAACACGTTACTTGTGAAGTTTTTCTTAAATAGGTATAGAATAAAATGAGTAGGTAAAACATTTTTTAATTACATTTCGTTGTTGATCACATACAGTAAAAGTTAAATGCCGTTTTACTGGTTATGAATAAAGTCATTTCTGTTTTGTCAGTACCATGCAGCATTCGTGAAAATAGATTTTTAAATTATTATTATATTGTAAGCGCCGCTGGCAGCCTACACTACAAAGAATCTGCAGGATTAAACTCGGCTCGCCTGCGCGTCTCTCCTGTTGAAAATGAACTGAGCTTGCGGTTGCTGCATATCGGTGCAGTAAAAATTAATACAAAAACTTAATACAAAAACCAATATTTCATAATGAATGATTAAAGTTCTAAAATTTAACTGACCTAAATTTTTACCAAACGTTTGATGATACATCAGAACAAATATTACAATAATAATTAGTACCACAGAATTACATAAAAACCACACAAAAAATGAAGGGAAACTAATTATTGTTACATTGTGTAATTAAATTAAAAGAAAAACTGAAAATCAGAATGAAAGTTGATTCAAAATATTAATAAAGCTGATATAAATAATATTGACATAACACTAGAGTCAAGATCAAATAATTTTTCCTGTTTTGGACAAGGCAAGGTTGAAAAGATTATAAAATGTCTTAGAGCTTCAAAGAATTTTTCACTATGTTTACTACATTTTAGAAGATTTCCCTTCTCCTTATTTAGGGTTTTGTCAATTATTTGTCTTATTGACCCCACAATAGGCACAATGTTAGAATGGATGCAGACAGCAGAGGATAATATTTTTAGTAATATTTCCAGTCTATACATCACACAAGCTATTGTATGACTTGGAATATAGTACACATATTTGAAAATTTGGAGCTTTTCCCTATTCACTTTTATTGTATGGAAATGAGTGCCAAGTACATTCTTCAAAATATTTCCTTTTCTGTTCCACACTTTTCTGTTCTGTTTTTTTTTTTTTTGGAACATGAGGGTGAGAAAAATGATTACAGAATTTTCCTTTTAGGCTGAATTGTTCCTTCAAATGCATATATTGTATATTCACCAAAGCGATGATGGGAAGGACCTTGAATGCAAGTGTGCTCCAAGGCATAAACAACATGCACTAATGTTCTGTATTATCTTTCCCCAAAGCAAGATTTCTCATACAAAGCTCTCTCTCGGTGTTCCAGTGGCATTCGCGTGTCAGGTTATGTGCACTCTGGTGGTCAGCGTGTATAGGTACAAGCGCCTGGTTTCTAGGTCAGCGTTGAGTCGGGCCTCAGGCTGTAGCTGTTTTTAGGTTGATGATGAAGGGCTGCAGTTAAACACGCACTCATGTTCACCTACAGTGCAGCAAAGGCCCTCACAAGCCCCTCTATTAGAATTAGAAAAGTTATGAGCACTTTCTTTTTAGAGGTTAAATCTAAAATTCTTCTTAAAATATTCAGTCTGCATTAGCATATAAATGCACGTCTGGTGATGCATGTTTAATGGTGGGTGATTTAAATGTATAATATTCATACACAAAGTGATGATGTAGCTATAAATGTGCAAACACTGAGTGAGGCGGATGAGTTCTGATGATAAAGTGCATGTTTGCATATGTGAGTCTGCATATCTATCTATCTATCTTTCTTTTTCTTTCTTTTCCTCTAATTATTGTACTGTACTTTGTTCTTTATTTTTCTTTTTCACTCTCTCATTCTCTTTTCTTTCATCTTTTTTGTTCATTCATTTGTTCGCTTACTTTGTTGCATTTGTCTGATTTGATTTTCTTTCCTTCATTTGTTTGTTCTTTCTTTCATTTTTTTCTTTTTTGTTTGCTCTTTCCCTTATGCATTGTCTTTCTTTTCATTTGTTGTTTTTTAATGTTTCCATTCAATTATTTATTTGCTTCTATTTGCTTGACCATTCTTTATTTTGTCCTTACCATCTTTCTTTCTTTCTTTCTTTCTTTCTTTCTCTCTTTCTTTCTTTCTTTTTTTTCTCTCTCTTTCTCTTTCTTTATTTTTCTTTCTTTCTTTCTTTCTTTTACTTGCTTGTTCATTCTTTTCGTTTTTCATTCTGTTTTGTTTTTTGTACATTTTTTTCAGTCGTTTATTTTTGCTCACGTGCATTCTAACATTTGTTCAATCTTTCTTTTCTTCTTTTGTGTTCTCTTTTGTTCATTCTTACATTTTTCACATGCTCTTTTTCTTTCTTTCTTTCATTTAATCATTAATTCTTTCTTTTTTTTATGCTATTGTCTGCTTGATCTTTCTCTCATTCATTGTTTAAATCGTTTTCTTTCAGTTCTTTTGTTTTTTGTTTTGATTCACTTTCTTTCACCTGTTTGTTTGTTTGTTCACGTCTTCATTTGTTCATTTTGCTCTTTCTTTTTCTCCTTCTTCATTTCATTTCTTCTTGCTTTCTTTTGTTCTGTGAAATAGGAAACAATGTTTTCCTGTTAGCGCTTTCTAAAGTGTTGAAAAGGTTTATGGTTAGTAATAATAGTTACTGTTGGCAGTTTTGTGCTTTTTTATCCTTCAGTACCAGCCTCTCTGTAAAGCCTGTATTACATTGTGATGTGTTCAGAAAACAATTTTAGACTGGAGAGGACATTGTTTGACACTTACCGTATGTTTGCATGGTACATCAAGAGCAAATGAAATTCAGTCCTTCATGATATGAAACAGACTCATCTGAGTTGTCGCTGACGTGTCTTCACAGAACCCCAAGCAGAAAGACTGGCACCCTCCTGATGGCTTTATTCTGGGGCTCTGGACTCTGATCTTGCTGGTGTTCTTCCAGACCTATGGCATCAAACATCTCAAACACATCTTCTGACTCCTCCCTCCCAGCACCGCAGAGGTCAAAGAACACACCGCTTTCATAAAAGAGTCCACCCTAACTTTGTTCATGATTGATTTGGTCAGGAATAGGTTTTTATTTATTATTTGATGCAAGTTTGTTTTCTTTGGGTTTTGCTGTGTATCGTTATTTTTTAAAGTGACATGCACTGACTTCTTACGTTCAAACATTGTTGTTTGGAGCTCAGTAAACCCATTTGAATTTCACACAGGGACTTTCTTTTGAACTAAACACACACATACAGCTTGCAGGGAGAAGCATACTTCTTGTTTGTTGGTTTGTTTGTTAGTTTTTTATTTGTTTGTTTCCATTTATAGTTTCATCTCTTCAACAATTATTTTTTAACATTCATAAATGCACATGTGGAATTGTAACTTGTAACTCCTCCCAGATTTCTTCATTTGTTCTTAGTGGGATGAGATGTGTTTTTTTAAACATATAATCTAAATCTGTAAATGCAATTGCTGATCTGTTGTTTCAATTGCACTTTATAATTTGCATTCTTATTATTTAATGGTTATTTAAAGTGGTAAATGATACTACTTTTCAGGGTAATGTATGGGTCATATTTTACCATGAAATTGAGAAAATGAGTAAAAACTTTAGCATAAAGCTTATTTTAGGATCATTGATTTTTTTCTTCATTATCATAATGAAAAGAAACATCTCACTGTAATACAGTGATGCTTTTTATTAAATCAGCATACATCAAATTTAGTACAACATGATGTGTAATCACTACTGTTCCTAATTTAAATAATATAACATTTGTTTTCCAATTAGCAATGAGAATGAAATTGTTTTTCCACACATATTAAGCTGCTGGCAACTGACTGACAAGAAGAGGGTTGAAAATGTCATGAAATTAGTAAAAAATATTTCATTTATCTTAAAATAGGAAAATATAATTGATTTGTTTTTTGGTTGGTTGTTTTTTTTTTATGACCTATACATTTTCATGAGATCATCCAGCAATAAATGTAAGGAATTAATGGACAACAAACAACATTTCCATGTACAGCAACCAAACGGCTCCATTTGCCTGTGGCAGTGTCCTGTATCTGTCCATTAGCATCTCTGCTGCACTTGAACTGTTACGAATGTGCTCTAAAAGGGGTCGCCTGAATTCACCCCCAGCTACACAGCAAGTGGGAATGAGAGATTGACAAATTGGACTGTTTAATTCAGTTTTTTTTTCTGTCTGTCTAATGCATCATTAACTGTTGGTAACTAAGGATTGTTTAGGAGAGCAGAGCTCATATTAAAATATTCACTGGCACTCACATTATGTGAGGAAACGCATTATGAGAATTTCTACAGTGCCATTTTGTCTTTTTCCCGTTTATGTTCTCTAGGATTTTGCTGTATGTTTTTTATTATAAAACTGGCTAAAGTTGATATTTTGAATAAAGTCTACAGTGAAAATTCTCTGAAAGCTTTTCATGTTCTGTTCCCTTTAAAGGGGTCCTATTATGCTTTTACAAAGTCTTGATTTTGGGCCACTTTGTGATATCACAAAGCCCGGAAAAAAACCCCGCTGTAGTCCAAACGAGCCGTTCGTTGTAGTTCTTGAAAAGGGATTTTTTTTAAACGAAATATCTCCCTTTGGAGTGGACTTTGAGATTTGTAACTTTCTAGATCTTTTTTATGCCCAAAAATACACACTACACACACTGACTAAAATTAAAAAAGTGAAAAAGCATAATAGGACCCCTTTAAATTCGAAGGAAAGTAATAAAGCAGAAAAACAGTGGGAAAATAGTGGAAAAAGGAGCTGGAGCTCTTTTTTTCTGCGTGAAATGAAAGAACAAAGAACTCACATTTTACAATGGAGAAGCATTATGAAATGATTTCTAGTAACATAATGCCGAGTTATAAGAGAGCTGTGAATAAACACCTGCTGCAGTTACTGGTTGTGTTGTATACAAATACCTACCTAATACATATTAAGACATATTTATTAGGCCATGAAATACAGCCTTCTTAAAATGTAAATTATAGGATACCAGATCTCTCAACTCATAAGTTATTTTTAATAATGCTAATTTCATATTTTAATCATGCACCAGTTGAAGCTATTTCATTAGTACCCATTTAAAAGGCTTTATTTATTTATTTAGTCATTATTTTTTAAATAAATAATAGTAATATCGGCTTCATGCAACAAGACCTTTTGGCTTTTTGTGCAATTATAAGCTGGCACAGATGGAAAAGACAGAGTTTTCTTTTTTTATTCTGCAGTGCATTTCATGATTTTGTGAAGTGAAATCATTTAGCATGTAATTCCACACTGTAAAAAAAAAAAATCTGTGACATTTACGGTAAAATACCGTATTCCATTAACTGATGTAATGTTAATAAACCAACATATTGAAGTACTAATATCTGTTTTGAACAATTGTAATGCACTGATAACCACCAAAAACTGGTGGTGATGAGAACATCACATGATGAACCAAAGCTCATCACAAACAGCTTTTCTACAAGCTGAGGGCAATATTTATATATAGAAGGTGCACAGTGTCATTCACACAAACACTAAACCCCATCACGGTGACACACATGATACTGAAATAATGCAATAAACATTAATTTAACAACATTAGATGTAAGATTAAACCCTAATGTACACAAATGATAAGAAAAAACTAAGAAGAAACGTTAATTCAACAAAAAAACATCAAATATGAAGTGTCATGCAGGGAATTCTGGGGGTGTCAATTTACGTTTTTTCACTGTAAATTATACAATGACTTTTTCTTTTTCACTTCCAAAAACCGTATTTTTAACAGTATTTTACTGTAAAATTACATTAAATGTAATTACGTTTATTCACCGAATATAGTATGGAAACTTACTGTTAACCAGTTAACAGGTTTTTACTGTAGCATTTTTAGTCTTTTACTGTTAAAATCACAATCATTTTTTACAGTGCAGGGTTGGTTTAACTGCTCATATATTTGGGGTTTAATTATAGCTCAGCACCCTGTGATTTCATCTCTGTTTTCTCTGAGCCGGAGACGTTTGTCTCTCAGTCAGCATCTCACTGTTTGGAAAATAGCTGGGCCACCATGGATCAATACACCACCAAGAGAAAGACTCCTAGTGTAGTAATCTGGGTCTAGCTGCAGTGGCCCATATTGCTTTATTTCTCACCAATTCTCTTTCAATATCATACCACAGTGCCACACTTGAGCTTCTGTTCATTGTGTTTTCTCTCTGCTTTCAAAGATTGTCTACAGTGTTTGCACAAACTGTAGCTGAGAAAGTGGTCTTGTGTTACACTAACAAGAACACATACATACATACAGCACCAGTATTGTGGATTTAATGTAAATTAAGCTTAACTGAATCATGATTTTAGTGTCAGTAATGATGATGATGATGATGATCATTTCTAAGCTTTTCTGTGTAAAGTTATATCCAAATGTACAACATCAGTTATGTTTCCTGTTTTAATTTGAAAGTTTTAGTAAATTTGTTGTCATTTTTTAATATTTTAGTACATCAAGTTAAATTAAACGAAACTGAAATAAAATAAGTTTGTTTTTTAATTTTTGATCTTATTTCAGCTAATATTTATTTTATTTTAAATATTTATTTTATTTTTTTATTTTATTTTTGTTATTATAAGAATGGGTTAATTATAACAACCCTGAACAACATACCTAAAAATCTAAAATCTAACATGACTGTAAAATGGTAAAAACAACTGTACAACTCTATTGTGTATGTAACACACAAGTTTAAACAATAAAATGAATGCACATGCTTTTAGAAAATTATAAGCTTCACGTGCTTTTAAATCCATCATTAATTTGCCCTTGTTGCAGACTCATTGCAGCCTTGATGTTTTGCTTTTTTAAAGAACGAGTTGAAATGATTCTGCATTATAAACAACAGTATGCCACAAATGCTGTTGAATGAACACATTTTGAACCTGGAATATTCCTTTAATTAACCTTATATCTATTTACCAATGTAATTTAAAGCTGCATCATTTCTCTGTTTTTAATATAAAATAAACTCAATTATTGTGGCCAGATCAATTAAGATAACAACCCTATTATTATAGAAATGACTTTATCTTGAAACATTTTTCCTACTTGCTGTTTTTCAAAGTGACGCATGATTTCCTCCACAGCTGTAAGCATATAGAAATAATAGTCGCTGAATTCTTGCGTTTCCCCTCGAGATGGACAGGCATTTCAGCATTTATACAACCAACAGTAGCTTTTGCAATAATTCAAGCTATAATAGGCCAACTCATCACTCATAGCTGCGCGGCGTATCTGCGTATTTGTGCATTCAACAGCAATGCCAACTTGTCAGTCATCTGGGGCGTATTAATGCGACGGCTGCTTTAACAGTCCCGACCCGTGTGTACATTTGCATGACTGACAGGTGCAGCGCGGTCATGGTCAACGATGCATGGCCTCCTGCTGTGACGGCCGTAATTACACGTGTGCGTCCTGTACACCTCTGACACGCTCCTCTCCAGCCTGACCACAAAAATAATGGATGTTGGGTTTCGATTTCATTTTTATATGCTCTGTGTTGCCCTTGTGCTGCTGCATTTCTTGTGGATCCTTGCGTATTCCAGCAGGATTCATCTTAGATATTTCAGCTTTGATAAATGTGAGAAAGCTCGATCAAAACTGCAGAATCACACTGCATATTAATTTATTTTTTTAAACAAAAGAACTGTTTATTGTTCATGTTAAAACATTTAAAATCAGTCTCACAATCAAGTACGGAAAATTGAAATTATCTCGAGAAAGAAAAATAAGAGCAAAGCATAAAACAAACACTGAAATAAATAAATAAAAATCCAGTGTCAGTTGGGGTAATAAAATAGGAAAATACTTAAAGAACATAAAAGGATTAAAAACTGTACTTTTTTTTTAATTTCAAAAATTCACCTGTTATACATTTCAGTATAATGACTTTAAAAATGTCAAAATATCTAAAAATTAAGGTTTCAAAAGGGAGTCTTCACAGCAATGCCATAGAATAACTATTTTTTGGTTCCAAAAAATACACAAAAAAATTGCCACCCATTTCAACGTAAAAACTTAGAAAGTAAAATATTTAAGGCATGAACTGAACTAAGTGTACTCGTCTTGGTTATACAAGTCATTTCAACTTACATTAAACCAAGTTGAATTTCATAGAACTTTTTCTCCACTTAATGTTAATGTAAAAACATAAGTTGCCTTGACTTACTGATCTGATCATATAATTTTTTACTGTGAACCTTTCGGTGGACAGAAAGCATTAGAACCATTATTTTCTTTATATTTTAATAATCTAAAGATTTTTTCCACTGTAAAAGAGCCTTGTTGCAGTTAAAAGGTTCCATGGATGTCAACCTTTTTTCATGGAACCATCAATGCCAATAAAGAAACCTTTATTTTTAAGAGTGTAAACGTCATTAATACACTGGACATTGTTGGGTTAAGTCAACATGAATAAAAAAATTGTCATTGTTTTACTTTCTTAGTGCACATTTCAGGCCTTACTGCGAACAGTTGATCCCTTTAAAGGAACACTCTTAATAATATGACATATTATTGAATGAAACAGGATAGTCATTGAGAGAACAGAATGACGGCACTTGATTTTATCCAACTTTGTGAAAAACGGTCTCTGTTTACTGTCAGCTGGTTAGAAGACAGTGGTTTTTGACATCAGCAGAACAGGAAATGCAAGAAAATTTCTTTTTTGGATTCATTTTTATGAAAGATTATGAAGATAGTTTTTTTTTTTAAATAACTTAAAGGAACACTCCACTATTTTTGAAAATAGGCTCATTTTCCAACTCCCCTAGAATTAAACAGTTGAGGTTTACCGTTTTCGAATCCATTCAGCCGATATCCGGGTCTGGCGGTAGCACTTTTAGCTGTAGCTTAGCATAGATCATTGAATCTGATTAGACCATTAGCATCTCGCTCAAAAATGACCAAAGAGTTTCGATATTTTTCCTATTTAAAACTTGACTCTTCGGTAGTTACATCGTGTACTAAGACCGACGGAAAATGAAAAGTTGCGATTTTCTAGGCCGATATGGCTAGGAACTATACTCTCATTCCGGCGTAATAATCAAGGAACTTTGCTGCCGTACCATGGGTGCAGCAGGCGCAATGATATTACGCAGCGCCTGAAAATAGGCTTATTAGAAGTTACCTAGCTGGGGACTTTTTTCAGGCGCTGCGTAATATCATTAGGAACTCTTTGGTCATTTTTGAGCGAGATGCTAATGGTCTAATCAGATTCAATGATCTATGCTAAGCTACAGGTAAAAGTGCTACTGCCAGACCCGGAGATCGGCTGAATGGATTCGAAAACGGTAAAACTCAACTGTTTAACTCTATGGGAGTTGGAAAATGAGCCTATTTTCAAAAATTGTGGAGTGTTCCTTTAAGTTATTTAAAAAAAAAACTATCTTCATAATCTTTCATAAAAATGAATCCAAAAAAGAAATTTTCTTGCATTTCCTGTTCCTGAGACCGTTTTTCACAAAGTTGGATAAAATCAAGTGCCGTCATTCTGTTCTCTCAATGACTATCCTGTTTCATTCAATAATATGTCATATTATCAAAGTAAAATGACTTTCGAATGCTGTTTTACATTGTCTTTAGTACAAATTTTGTTGCAGGCAGATCCTATACACTCTAGAGCTCTTTGATCCACCACCCTTTCTAATTTTTCCTAGATGCCGCATAAAACTGTGATACTCAATGAGCTGCTGAAATATGGATGCGTACAGCCTACTGGAATGCCTTTTGTACCTAAAGAAACAATGAATGTGCAAAAGAAAAGGTTTAAGCATCAGTTCTCCTTGAATCAGAGTCTCTCTCAGTCAATCCAACACGTAAAGCTCCATCCACACGGCAACAGGAATTAGCCAGTGATCCGTCTGAGGCAGTTGGAGATCTTTGAAGGCTCTGGTGAGAGTCACGTCTTCTGGGATCGGGGAAAGACTGTGGTTGCCGTGCTATTTCTCGGTAACGGCGGCGGACTCCAGTCCGGCTGGTAGAAATGAATGTTGAACATCCGAGCCCAGCTGGCAAAGACTCGCTTCTCTGTGATGAAGCGATGGTGGCTGCCTCGCCGGCCTCGCTCGTGAGAGATGTACATGGCACATTCGTCCGGACCCGTCGGTTCGTAGTAGTGATATGGGACAGAGGGGTGCTGAGACTCCCTGTACACAATGAGAGCAGAGATTAAAATGGGGACCGTGTTAAGGTAGCAGTACATTCCCCGATTCCCAAATTAATCCTGAGCTAGATATTCATTTTCAAGGCAATTAACCTGATTTGGTTCAGAGAATAACTGGCTTTAAGGGGAATAAATTGATTTTATGTAATACATTAAGGTTGCAAAATGGCTAGGGGGAGAGGTCATGCCTCAGTGGGGAATCACAATGAATCATTTAATTTTTGGCTCTCTATTATTTTTCTCATATCATTGGTACACAGCAGGGGCTGCCTGAACAAACATGCAGAAAGATCAGATCTATGACCACATTGGAAATATGTGATTCACAATACAATTTTAACATGGAAATGAACAGAAAGGTTTAGGATTTTTAAACATTCTAAACAACATCCCTATTTCTAATAGGCATACACCTTGCATTGGTATCAGCTGATTATATATATACAGGGCCTAAAACTAACTTTTTGCCACACCTGCCAATGGCCGGTGACATGATAAAATTTACCGGCCAAAAAGTTTTTTTACTGGCCATGAAACTCTTTTTGCAAAAACAGGCTGTTATTACTACTACAATGACTAAACATATTTACAATGTTTTTAATTTGTCCTGCTGGTGCATTTTCCCTCAATTTTTCCTATTAATCACTTTAAAATCAGCGCTGTGTCTTTAAAACCTGATGACACAGATCTGACACATATCCGATTCCCCTTCAGGAACTCGAGCTGCATCGAGATCGCTTTGGGAACGTCCCTGCGTGACCGTGTTCTGAAGCACGTGTGAAATCAGCTTTCCACGTGCTGATTTCCCTCGGGGAACCATGGTTACATACGTAACCTAGAGACGTTTTCTCCCAACTCTTTACGGTCATTTAAACTACGTTTACAAGGTAACTCGTGTGTTGAAGCGCTACTGGTGAGCTGTCTGAAGCGGCTCAGCGTATGCGTACAGCCGAACACGCAGCCTTTCAAACTATAATTCACTGCACCGTTTAGGCGGCGTAACCCCAGGCATGTGTCGCCGCATTCTCAGGTTATGAAGAATAAAGAAGGGAAAAGTTAATCTTCCGAAATGAAGCAGCAAAATCTTCTCAGGTAAAAGTTATTAG